GGAGGACGGCGAGTCTTCCTTTTGCTAGTGCCGTCTTGGGGTGTGGTAAGGGACGCAGGGGAAGGACAAATGAAACAGAATTTTAAACAGCTGCATTCTTTGTCTGACAGACTACACAGTGTGTGTGTGTGTGTGTGTGTGTGTGTGTTTATGTGTCTATATGCTTTAAAATTGCCTTTTAAATTTGCTGTTTTTACATATATATAAAGATTAAAAAATTTTAAAAACCTTTAAAAATAACTAACTTTTATAAATTAGCAACTTTTAAAAATAATTTAAAAGTTCTACAGATTAAATAAACCTGTTATATAGCAATAAATAACACTGATGGGCAAATGTAACAAAAAATATTGTCGAGTTTGAACTGTTTGCGGTTTCCATGGGTGCTGCGTACTGTTTGCCCCTTCTTTCAAAGAACAGATTATCCCATAAGCCTATAGGTAAATATTGGCATGCCCTCTGCAGTAGTTGATGGCCTACGAATTTTAAAGTTCTTGCCCTGACTCTAAACACGGGCACTTCATCAAGTTTTTAAGCCCATTTCTAATCGTTGCCCCCAAATTCTTAAGCTTTGGAAATGACACTGTTTTATTCTGGGCACTGTTGTTCCAAGCATCCCTTACTCTATATAATGCTAGGTTTTTCACAGGAAACCTCATACAACAGATTGATTAACAAAATAAAATGACTCTGTAGTTTGGGTTTTTTTGAATTCGGTGGCTGAATTCTGGGGAAGGTTAAGCCTGTTCTTAATGAAACGAGGTTTGCTGTTGTGAAGACCGTGCTTTGACGACATATGCCCTCAGGATATCTTTGAGTTTGATGTGGCATGATTCCAAGTCTGGTTTTACTCACATCTTGTATTTACAAATAGATGGAACATTAACAGTGCAATTGAAAAATGCTGAAGAAATAATCACCTAGGTACTTTTAAAGTGCACATCTGACGTTGAATAGAACGGCTGAATGAAAAGATTGGGGGAGATGTATGTTTTAAGCGTTAAAAGCTTAAGTATGAGAAAAGAGGGCTCGGAAGATGAAAACTGCCCGAACGCAGCTTTTCGCTCCTGTGCTACCTCGTTAGCGGCGGTGCACGGGGGATCTGCAGCCTCAGAGTAGCCTCTCACTTTAGCTGTGAGGAAATACTAAAAGTAGACAGAAATACTTATCGTCCATTGTCTTTCTTATTTGGGAAATAGACATTTCCTTTATTGCTCAGACCTGAATGGACCTGGTGCATCCCAGCACTCAAGTGAGGAGCGCAGAAGAGGACTTGAGTCAGAAGGCACAGGGGGAGACAGAGCTCGGGTCTTCCCATTCACCCTGGTGAAATCACACGGTACCACCCCTCTTCCAGGGCAGAAGCACGCACACAAAATAGTCTAGGAAACCTGCACTTCTTTGAATTCTCTTTGGGATCTGACTGCCCTATCACCAGAGCTCTCTGTCGGCATGGATGATGGAGAGGGATTTGTGAGCAACCAGCGAAATTACCCCCAACTCGGCCCACATCAAGGACGGGGTACACAGTGTGCAGAGGGAAATGATTTCTGAATATATTTCCTTCTTCGCTTTGACTTACTGCCCCTTGCATATCCGCCGTCTGGCTTTCACACTGAGCGACACGAAGCGCGGATTGTTGGATTCTGCTGACAGAGGAAATCGTCATATAAACATAAGCTGCTAGTTGCACTGTTTCTTTTTTGTTTTGCAACCAAGATAAAGTATCAAGTTTCCCTACCTAAAAAAAAAATATATATTGTACTGAATATCTCCTCAGTTTCACTACTACAAAAATAGCTGGGAAAAAGCCACCCTCAACGTGCCACAACTTTTAACTGTGAACTGTACTTTTAAAATACCATGATCAGATAATTGGGACACAGCAGGGTTGTCTTTCTGTGATTTTGAATTCCAGAGATTTGATGTGAGGAGAAAAAATTAAGGCTCAACTTATTGTTGTAATAGGACACTCATTGGTGTGATGTGTTAAGAATTAAATGCGATAGGCCACCAAGGTGAAAAGGCTGCTTTTTAATATTTTACACAAGTGTTTTCAAAGCAAGAAAAGATTTACTTTCTGATGCCAGATGGTGACAGCCAGGGCCAGAGAAAAGTGATCTCCCTTGGCTGTCTGCAGTCAGCACTTTGACTTCCTCTTCTGCCCAGCTTAGTCCAGACATTTCAGTGGCTTGGCTGAGCCTCATCACCGGTCGGCTGCCAAATTCAGCGGTTGCCAGGATCACTAGTAGTTTTTTAAGTACACCTGTTGCCAGCACTATGCCTGAGTCAAGACAACTAGACCTTTCTGGTCTATCCCAGTGGCTAGGCTCTTTTCCAAAGGAGAATTATTTTTTAATATTACTTCACCATCCTTTGACAGGAACACATTTTTCTAGCGAGCTTCTCTCCTTACGGGGAAGTTGCTTTTACATTGAACCTGCTGTGTACCATCTGGCCTGCGTTAGCCTAGGGATTAAAAAAATGGTTTGGATAATCAATACTACCTCTGATTTTAATTTTTAATTGTGTGGGGGCCAACAAAGCTCTATGGAATAACGAAACAAGAAGACTTGGTATCAGCTGACAGGTTTTAAGTGGAATCATCAAATATCATTTACAGCAAAGTTAATCTCATAGCTAATGGCATGTATTACATGGTAATTAGGTATGAACACCAAGTAGCTCATATAAAGACCTGTAATTAACGTGATTCATGGAGCCAAACAAGCATTTTTCGAGCAATCTTGGTGTGGAGATGAAGAGAAAAGTGGTGAAAGCTGGGCTCTGCCCTAAAAGTCCCTGGGCCCGGGACCCTCTCTGACAGCACCTCCTTGTTTTTCATTAGCATTTGCTCCAGGAAAAGGCCAGGGGCAGGACCATAGGGGAAAAAATCGAGAGAGAAAGTGCAGTGGCTTGAGCTCTGGCGGTCTTCACGACCTTCAAGCACCACTGGTTCGCCGCGGCTCTGCCGTCGTTGAAGGTGAAGGAATGGGACCCGCGCGGATGATTCCGGCACCCAAAGTCTCTGTGGCCACTGGGGCTTCTGGAGCTCGTTTTGATCCCTGCCTCTCAGTCAGTGTCCATAAGGTATATACGTTTTCTTTATGCTAACGAAATATCTGTAGATAAATCTGGTTTCTTTAAATTGGGCTGCTTTATTGATTATCTACATTTTCTGAAAGGTAGTGGAAAAGATGGTTTAAAAAAACCTCCGAAACCCTTAATCATGCCTCACGTGCGTGTCAGGTTGAAATGCCTCCACCCTGGGCACAGGTGTGCCTGTGTGTGTCTCAAGCGACACTGCGCCCACCTGACTGATTCCGGTCTGACTGACAGGGTGACCTGGTTCAGATGCCGGCCTCATGGGCTTTACGCTTGCCTCCTTTCCGGCCGCACGTCCAATCCGCTGGCAGATCTTTTTGGCTCTTTCAAAATGTATCTGGAATCGGACCACTCTTAGCTCCTCCTGTGCTCTGCGATGGCCCCCGACGGCAGTGCCCTGCAGCTGACCACTCAACAGTCTGCTGCCCGTCGTCCCTGCCCGGTTCTCTTCTGAGCGGTGCTGCGGGGCCCGCTCAGTCCAAGCCCGACGGGGTCATTCCTCCAAGGGCTCTCCATTTCGTTCCCAGTGAATTCTAGACGTCACAGGGTTCTACGTTCGTCCCCGTCTCCTCTCGTGATTTTTGTCTTAGTTCTCTCCCTTTGTCCACTGGGTTTTCAGTACTCTTGAGCCCCTGGCTACCCGTCAAACATGCGCGCCCACTCCCGGGCAGGTCTTTCCGCCTGTTGTTCCTTCCCTGGGAGACGCCCTGACACGTGCCCCGTTTTCTCACTTCCTTCAGGTCTGTGCTCGGGAGGCCTTCGGGGTAAACACACCTCAGAACGCGTCCTCTGGACCCGTGTCTCCTCCCCTGCCTGTTGCTGTGTGAATCACCATCTAACGTACTGTGTATTTATTGGCTTATTATTATCACCTTTTCTACCTACCATGGAAGCTCCATGAGAGCGGGACTTTGTATCATGGTTCATTTGTATTTTCATTCCTTAGAATAGAGCCAAACATATTTTTTATTAAATCATCCTCCACGGATGAAACCAACATTTCCTCTTGATATTTTAAAATAAACTTCCCAAATCTGAACTCCCAGTACCTTCAATGTTTTTCACGTATTTGAGCCATAATCTTCTCATTCTTGGTTCCAGTCTCCTCGGCAGGGAAATCCAACTCGTGAAAGACCTGGGAGTGATAGAATCATCTCACTTAATTCTATCCGCAGTCCTAGAGATAGGTATTATAACTATCATCCTTTTACAAACAGACTGATTCTTGGAGAGGTGAAAGGTCTCTGATCTCTGAGCTGAGACTAGAATCAAGGTGTGGTCGACCCCCTGCCGGGTCCTAGCTGCGCCCCCAGAAGCGCACGTGCGCTTCCTGTAGTAAGGCAGCTGGATTCAAAACATTCTTTTGCAGTTCCTGTACCAGGGTTCTGGGATATGTGTGATCACATATGTAATATATACGCTCTGTGTAACACCTATATCCCCCCGAGATTCCCGGTGCCAGACCATTAGTTCACCTTTCGGGAATGTCCTAAAGGCCGTTGGCCTCTATGCTGGACCCTTAAAGGCAAGGCTCGCTTAGCGCAGAGGTTTAGACCGCCTAGTAAAAGACAAAGGGGTCAACACGCTGTGACCGAGAAGCAAGGGGACATCCCAGTTCGGTTCACCGCCTGCAAGTGGGGACATTTAAATATGTGAAGAAAAACCAAGGCCGCCCAAGGGCTCGGAGGGCAGGTGGCCCGAAGAGGGGACCGTGGCTACGGGGACCCCAGGACGCGCCCGCACAACGCGGGGCCGGGCCACAGGTGCCCGACGCCCGGGGAGGCCCCAGTGGGGTGCTGTGGAGCGCGGGAGCCGGGAGCGCGGGGAGGGTGCGGCGGGGACGCTGGGCGCGGGGGGCGTGGCCGCCTCCGCCCCGCCCCTCCCGGGGCCGCCGGGATGTTTACCCTCCTGATCGCGGCGCCGCGGGAGGAGGCGCGGAGTTGGGGGCGGACGGGCCGCCGCTAGGCTCGCTCCGACCCGCCTGGCCGAGCGCAGGGTGGGAACCCGCGCCGGGAGCGCCCGCGGGGCGGCGCGGCCGAGGTGCCGATAGCTCCGGGCCTCGCACCGCAGCCTCGGGCCCCGCCGGCCTCTCTGCGGCGCCGCCCGCCCGTCCGCCGCGGGCCGGAGCCCGGAAAGCTCCCGGCCTCCTGGTGAGTGGCTGCGGCTCCCGGGCGGAGCGGGGCGGGCTTATCGTGGTCGCGGGCACTTCGTGCGGGGCCCGAGCTACGCTGGCCGAGGCCACCGCCGTAACCAAGAGGCTCCGCGGCCCTGGCGGCGGCAACAGGTCTCTGATCTCGGGACCCGAGCAACTTCGGCGAAGTCCCGCCTCCCGCCTCCCGGCGGGCGCCCATTGGCGGCGGCGGGCACATGTCCCCCGAGGATTGGTCGGGCCGAGCTGTGCGGCGCGGGGGAGCGCGGATCCCTGCGAGAGTAGGTGTGTGGCCGCGCGGGTCGCGGCGGCGGGTCGAGGCGGCTCCCGCGGGACTCGGGCGGACGGGGGTGGCGGGGGTATTGCTAGGCGGCTGCCCACGTGGGCCGGTGACAGTGTCACTGGGAGAGAAGGAAAAGTTGAAAATTGAGGCCAAAGCCAGAGAGAAACGAAGGGGAGCCCGAAGGAGAAGGAGGGAAGTGAGGCGACCCCAGGCCCGGGCGCGCCGGGAAGGACAGCCGGGGGCGCTGCGGGGCTCAGGCCGCCCCCGTGCCCGTGCTGGAGGCCCTGGGCGGGGGCTGGCAGGCCGCGCGCTCGCGGAGGCGTCGACCTAGCGGGGGACAGATCCTGGACATCACCGTGTTTCACGGGTAGATGTGCTTCCGTCCCTGAGCAGCTCTGCTGCGGGAACGGAGTCAGACTCGCTTTTTTGTTCTCGGGGACGACCGCATTCCTTCGGCTGCAGTTGAAATCATCAAATGCGCATAGTTTGTGGAGCAATGTTTACATCATAATCTGAGCCACTCTTGTTCCTCCAAGGAATCTGCCGTTTCAGGACGTGCACACGGCCCGCGGGCCAGTGTCAAGTGCAGGGCATGTGTGGTCTGCTCTGTAGAGCCACCGCGGGTGTGGTCGCAGACGGTGCAGTGCTTTGACCCAGAAAGTTCTGGGTACGTTTGGGACAGTCGGACAGGCCCTGCAAGTGGTGTCGAGTTGAACGAGGCCCCTGCAAACTGTAGTGCGTTGTCCGACTCTTGCTGAGGGGCCCCGCGTGTCGTGGCTGTGAGACCCGATAAGGGCCAGTGCGCTTGAGACGGTTACATGAAACGCGTGCGGTTATCGCGCTCCCAGGAAGGGGTCCCCGCCGCCCTGGGGCACCCAGGCCGCAGCTGCCTCCTCCCTGAACCCGCAGCATCCTCTTCGCTTCCCGGCCCGGGGCCTGCAGGTGGAGAGCGCAGCTGCGGCTCCGAAAACCTGGTCTCTCGGAGGAGTCAGAGGGCAGAGGCTGTGGGGACAGTGATGGAGGGCAGGCGAACGATACGGCGAAAGGACCTCGGCGGGGGCAGGCAGGCCGCCCACCGCGCGTGCCTGGGGTTCCGCTCTCGGGCGGGAGGTCCCGCCCCCACACGGGGGTTCCGCCCCCACGCGAGGGCCCGCCCCTGCACGAGGTCCCGCCCCGCGGCACTGACGGGCTCCGCAGCCAATGGCAGCGGGGACGCCGCTCTGGGGGCGGCACTTCCTGCCCGGGTCCGGCTGCAGCGGGCGGGGAGCCGTGGCTGGAAGACAGTCTGAGGGCCGGCGCCGGCCCTGACCCCCGGGCCCGCGTGGTTTCCTGCGGGCGGCGCGCCGCGGACCCGCCGCCTCCTTTCTCTGCGGGGCTGGGCCAACGAGGTTGGTCGGAAACGGCGGCGGCAGAGTGTGGCTGTTCGGGGGCTTTGCTCCGAAACTCTCCGGGAAGGAGAGCCAAGCAGCGGCCCGAGCCTACGCGCTTGAGGCCCATCGCAGGTGCGTGTGGTCAGCGCGATTAGGGGCCCCGCCGGTGTGCAGGGCGAGGGCGCCCCGAGCGCGCACGGGGTCCTGCCGGGCAGCCCAGCCTTCCCGGGCGGCCGGACGGCGCTGACCCGGGGCCGCGGGGGGCATCAGCGCCGTAGGCGCGAGTGGCCGGACGCGCGGTGGTCAGTGCGGAGGAGCGTCGGCCTCCTTTGCCTCCCCTTCGTCTTCCTGGGTCGCAGTTCACTTTTGGGCCCTGACTTATTGCAAATAAGTGTCTTTTCTTTTCAACTGTGGTGCATTTACTCAAATGTAGATTTCTTCATTTAAATAAGGGGTCTGGTCATTTACAGTGTTTCCTGGAACCGTGCACTTTTCCTAGAATTCTCTCATGTTTTAAAACGCACCTTTATAATATTACCGGCGTAGCCACCCTCAGGGCATCTAGAGAGGAGAGAACATTGATTATTTAAGGCAGTGGAAATCAAGTTGTTTTATTAGGTAGTAAGCCCCCACATTCCTTTTACGTTTTATTTCCTTCGATTCTTTTTCTTTTTTTCGTAGGCTTGGTATTTTAAAAACAAAAACGTGCAGCGTAGCTGCAGCTGCACGAAACACTGCTCCGCCCACCTTCCCAGGTACATTCACGTTAAAATATTTGTTCAGCTGCGTACGCCCAGTAGTAGGTGGGCAGGTATTCAGTGCATTACAAATACAACAGGGCAGCAGTGTGATACCTGAAGGCGTCTTAGAAGTGACATGTGTGATTACTATTTCTTTGAATTGCTTTTCAGCAGTTTATCAGCATTTCTATAAATACATAAAAGATGTTTTAAGTATTTCTTAATACCTCTGAATGTTTCACTTTAATGCCTCCCCCTCCCAATTTTGTAGGGAATGTTGAAAACATTTGGTTCTACGAAAGTAATCATATTTATATGCCGGATGTAATGGCAGTTGAGAAATTTTATACTTCTACATAAAACTAATGTAGAACCATTCACTCTCAGAGTTATAAGATTTCTAAACTGCTGATTCCTCTCGATGGTTTATAGTTTGTCTCTGTGTGTTATAAATCTTTAAAAATATTTTTTCTTTCCAAAGAAGACATGAATTTCATGGTTTTTAGTGAGCAGTGGGAATGAGGGCAGATGATCGTGAAGCATTCCTTAATTTTTTTGAGGAATTTTTTTGAGGATTACCTCTTTTTTTAGCTTTTTTCAAAATAACAGCTCTGCCATATTATTTATATATAATGAACTTACATATTTATATGTATAATGAATTTATGTATTTATGTAATATGCAGTGGGCTGTTTTGTCATAGCTATGCAGAGTGTTAATCAGAACTGTATAATGAACAGAACTTATTTAATTGGTCTGTAAGGCTTAGGAATATGTTTTGTTACTTAATGGAAATAGACCTTTCTAATATAAATCTTGTCATTGGTCTTCTGTTGGTAATCAGTGTAAGTAAATAGTTAAGAGCAACTTTTCATTCTAGATTCCTTTTGTATAGAACAAGGGTTTGCAAACTTTCTCTCTAAAGCCAGATAGTAAATATTTCTGGCTTTGTGAGCCAGACAGTCTCTAGCATAGCTGTAGCCACTGTAGCTGTGAACATTATCTCATCAGGTGAGTGTTGCTTTAAATAAAAGTTTACCTTTACAAACAGTCTGGAGGCCCTCCCTGCTCTAGCAGAAAATACAGATTTAAGTGTAATTCTAGCCCACTGATGTTTGGGTTGGTGTAGATCTTACACAGCTGTGTTTTATGGCATTTTTTTGGTCCTTAGAGCCTGTGACAATCCCTTGATCTTCCCTATTCCCCTCAGAATGATGGCCACTTATTCATTCCCAAATTTTGTGTCTCATCCCAGACACTTCATAAATATATGAATCTCTTTTAGATTTACCCACCTTCTCAGGGTTTTCCACCCTTTGCGTGGGAGTACCCCATCCCCTTGTGACATTGAATAAGTGTGCACCCTCTCCAGCTTGCTTCCTACTAAACGAGATGGAATCTGATGTCAAACATTTATCTTTGCTTGATTGACTAATAGCACTTTAATATGAGTGAGTTTTGGTGTGTTTCTGTACCTAGTAGTTTTCATTTGTAGCCTGCTGGAATGACTGCGCTTGTTTTTAAGAGGGAGTTTCTGGCATGAGCAAGAGAGTGGGCAGGGTTTTTTCTTTTAAAGAAAAATGGACTTAATCTTTTATAAAAGACTTTTTTCTTGTAAGAAAAAAATACTGTGTTGTGGGAAGGGCCTGCTGTTAGGGCCTGGGTGGCCTGATGGGGTGGGGGGCGCCTGGGTGCAGCTGTTGAGAAGCAGTGGAATGGAATGGAAAATGCAACAGCTTTGAAATTACACAGATCTTTGCAGCCCTAGCCAGGAGTGGGTTGTGGGCGTACCACGGTATTGACCCCTTAGGGTGGTCAGTGGGGTCTGGGATCACCAGCTACAACCAGCATCTTCTCTTTATCTGACCCTTATTACCATTTTCTGTGTTCACCATGCCATGAAAAAGACTAAGGTCCAGGTTTGTTATCCTACTGTGTGACCTTGGTTGAGTTACTTGATTTGTTCGGACTATAATTTTCTCAGCTCCAGTTAGACTGACTTGAGAAGTAAGTGAAAAAACATCTTTGTGAAAATATGTCACAGGCTCGGTAGGAGTCAGTTTCATTTCACCCTTTTCCTGTTCTTGGGACCTTCTTTGTGGAAAGGTACCTCCAGTTCTCAGTTTCTTCTGCTGACAGGCCTTTACCCCTCTCTGCCCTGGCCCCTCTGCCTGAACAGGCTCAGATCTGGCTCTGCTGCCGTTTCTGCCTTGCCTGTCTGAATCCTCTTTCCCCTTTTCCCTGTGATTTCCATATTCATAACTTAGTGGTTCTTACATTTGAGTTAATGCCTTCCTGACTATTTTGGTGGGGGATCAGTAGTAATCCTTAATTCCTCAGGAAGGAAGAACCATCAGAGGCTTGGGGTTCTGTTTTGCAAGAAAAGAGTGGGAGTTGTAAATATGTCCTTAAATACAAATACAAAAATGACAAAATTAAAAATGTTCCTTGCAGTATACTTAAAAATCTGTTTTGTTTTGTTGCTAAAATATTTCCTTCATATTCTCATATTTACCTGGCAAGTTACTATAATTTCTGTTGTGGTTGTAACCATAACAAAGCCACAAATCCTTTAGTATATTATGATTTGGAAAATTGAGTAGATAT